CAGGACAGACCCCGAACACCCACACCCACAGGACAGACCCCGAACACCCACACCCACAGGACAGACCCCGAACACCCACACCCACAGGACAGACCTGAACACCCACACCCACAGGACAGACCTGAACACCCACACCCACAGGACAGACCTGAACACCCACACCCACAGGACAGACCTGAACACCCACACCTACAGGACAGACCTGAACACCCACACCTACAGGCCTGTCCCAGAACACCCACACCTACAGGCCTGTCCCAGAACACCCATGCCTGCAGTACAGACCCTGGATACGCATACCAGCGGCTCCTTGCACATGGGGTCAGGGGCGTCTACACTACTTCCACGGGCTTCCAGCCAGGCTCAGCACCAGGTCACAGAGAGGCTGGCAGGCGCTTGCTCCCTGTGTCCCCTCCCTCATGTTCTTCTGACACCTTCTGCTAGGGTTCCTCTCGGGTGAGCCACCACCTTTGCACTGTGGATTTGTGCCGCCTACGGCCAGGGCCCCGCCCTGCTTTCTGTTCTCCCTGAGCCTGGCCTGGGCACCTGCAGCGCTGTCCATTCCCGCCACGTCCCCTGGGAAGACGCAGAAGTCACCAAGACAGCCTGATGGTAGCTCCTGCCTACAGAGTAGCAATGTGTCTCAGATCTTTGGCCTGCTCCTCACAACACCCATCCTCCCAACAGAGCATCTTCCTCTGAGTGGACATGTTTGAAATTTTCTGGGTGGGGAGGGACTTCCCCCCAAAATAACTATTTTGAAGAATGTGCATGATGCTGTTGTGTTGTGTTTGACCCCTGTGTGTCTCCAGTCCTCACTCTGGTGTGTACAAAGCCAGTACCCTGAAGGTCTGACCCAGCCTTGCCCTCGGTGGTGGAGTCCTCAGTGGATTTTGTCCCAGACCAGTGGACAATTAGACATCCCAAGGACAGCCTTCCTGGGCAGCCGGCGACTGTCCCCCTGACCTCCCGACCCCAGCCCTTCTCCCTGGCACCTACCACTCTCTCCAGGTTCTTGCTGAGCTGGTTCACCATCAGACGCAGCCCAGACAGCTCACTCATCATGTTGCTCAGCTCCTCACAGGAGTGTGTGCACACGTCAGGCCTCTTCTGCACGCCGTGGCCCACAAAGTCTGTGGTGAGGTGAGGGCTCAGGTGCAGTGTCTCCGTGTGCTCATGGATGGCGTTGGCTTCAGCTGAGGGGGAGCCCGGGAGGTTATCATGGCACTGGCTCTGCAGGGCCGGCCTGCAGCTGAGGGGGAGCCCGGGAGGTTATCAGGGCACTGGCTCTGCAGGGCCGGCCTGCAGCTGAGGGGGTGAGGGGGAGCCTGGGGGGTTAGCGGGGCACTGGCTCTGCAGGGCTGGCCTGCAGCTGAGGGGGAGCCCGGGGGGTTAGCGGGGCACTGGCTCTGCAGGGCTGGCCTGCAGCTGAGGGGGAGCCCGGGAGGTTAGCGGGGCGCTGGCCCTGCAGCCCGGGAGGTTAGCGGGGCGCTGGCCCTGCAGCACGGGAGGTTAGCAGGGCACTGGCCCTGCAGGGCTGGCCTGCAGCTGAAGGGGAGCCCGGGGGGGTTAGCGGGGCACTGGCCCTGCAGCCCGGGAGGTTAGCGGGTCGCTGGCCCTGCAGCCCGGGAGGTTAGCGGGGCGCTGGCCCTGCAGCCCGGGAGGTTAGCGGGGCGCTGGCCCTGCAGCCCGGGAGGTTAGCGGGGCACTGGCCCTGCAGGGCTGGCCTGCAGCTGAAGGGGAGCCCGGCCGGGAGGTTAGCGGGGCGCTGGCCCTGCAGCCCGGGAGGTTAGCGGGGCGCTGGCCCTGCAGCCCGGGAGGTTAGCGGGGCGCTGGCCCTGCAGGGCCAGCCTGCACCTCACTGAGGGAACCTGCTCAGGGCTGCTCTGCACAGCTCCCGAGAGGCTTCTGGCTAGGCCGTCCCCAAGAACAGGAAGAGCGTGGTACCACTTCTGATTAAGACCCACGCCAAACAAAAGGTTTCAGCTCCATTTCCTAGCACCACTCTCAGTGTTTGGAAAGTCCAGTGCAAAGCAGAGGCTAAGCTCAAGAATGCAGAGATGCAGAGCTTATGGGAAAGGTAAACTACTATAAATTCCAATCGCATGTCACACATCTCTGTCACACTGAGCTACAACAGTTCCCTACGTACTCAATGTGAATCGCATGCAATTCCATCTGTCCACTACAAGCCCTAAGCCCTCAGCCCTCCTCTCCCCTCTTCTGTCCATTCACCCTTACTGGGGCTCCTTTTCTGAATTTGGCATTAAACCAAACATCTGTTTTCTTGCCAAACACAGACACCCCCAGAGCTGCCTCTTTCCTCTGACTTCAGTGGTAGGTCTGCCAGCTAGTTCCTCCCCAAGCAGAGTAGATGAACCCCTTGGAGTCCAGGCCTAGTACAGGGACTGCCTCTCACTGACAGTGAAATTGTGTAAACTTTCTGCAGCCCTGGTGCCAGGATGCATATGGGTGGGACTCATAACTTACAAGTAGATTTGGAGTCAAGACACAGAGCCACCCTCTGTCAAGCAGGAGCCCATGACATCTGTTCAGTCCTGGCTTCACACACGCACACTTTCCCTCTCCCTCCCTCTCCTTTCCCCCTCCCTTCTCCCTCCCGCTCTTTCTCTCGCCATGCCCTGTCCTGTCCTGTTGGGACACCCCTGTTGAGGTATTGTGTGTGCAGGCTACTCTCTGCTCGGCACTGCCTCACTGAGCTTCAGGTTCAAAGCCCCTGCCTTCAACTTCAACTCATCATGCTTCTGCCAACACCAATGTATTTGTCACTCAGTAGACAGAGACACAAGCCTGAATAGACTGGAGTTTGCTCTACATTGACTTTCATTTTTTAAATCCATTACTTATCCATGATGGTTATTTTTCTGTTCGTTAAAGAGAATGTGTTCTGCGTCTGACTGTGCTGAGGTGAGCCCGCCCGGCAGCCCCTCCCCCCCCTCAGGCCTCACCATGATAGGACTGGAGTTGCTTGGCGTCTCCACAGAGTACACTCACAGTTCCCAAACACACAAAAGATCTGTATTTACCAAGCACCAACTCAGGAACTGGCATTCTCTATAAAATCAGATTTCTTTAACTCTCACAAAGCCAGTGGAGAACAGCTGACGCTGGCAGAGAACGGGGTTTGCTGGCCTATGCTTTCAGCTAGCCCTTACATATGCACACGCCTCCAGACACTGTGACGGTGCTGTTCAGAGCACACCCCTCCCAAAGCCGTGAACAGTGCTGTTCAGAGCACACCCTCTCCCGACACTGTGATGGTGCTGTTCAGAGCACACCCCATCCCGACACCGTGATGGTGCTGTTCAGAGCACACCCCATCCCAACACTGTGAACAGTGCTGTTCAGAGAACACTCCTCCCAAAGCCGTCAACAGTGCTGCTCAGAGCACACCCTCCCGACACCGTGATGGTGCTGTTCAGAGCACACCCCTCTGACACTGTGAACAGTGCTGTTCAGAACACACCCCCTCCTGACCCCGTGAACAGTGCTGCTCAGAGCACACCCCCTCCTGACCCCGTGAACAGTGCTGTTCAGAACATACCCCCTCCTGACCCAGTGAACAGTGCTGTTCAGAGCACACCCCTCCTGACCCCGTGAACAGTGCTGTTCAGAACACACCCCCTCCTGACCCCGTGAACAGTGCTGTTCAGAGCACACCCCTCCTGACCCCGTGAACAGTGCTGTTCAGAGCACAACCCTCCTGACCCCGTGAACAGTGCTGTTCAGAGCACACCCCTCCTGACCCCGTGAACAGTGCTGCTCAGAGCACACCCCTCTTGACACTGTAAACAGTGCTGTTCAGAGCACACCCCATCCCAACACTGTGAACAGTGCTGTTCAGAGCACACCCCGTCCTGACCCCATGAACAGTGCTGTTCAGAGCACACCCCCTCCTGACCCCGTGAACAGTGCTGTTCAGAACACACCCCCTCCTAACACCGTGACAGTGCTGTTCAGAACACACCCCCTCCTGACCCCATGAACAGTGCTGTTCAGAACATACCCCCTCCTGACCCCGTGAACAGTGCTGTTCAGAGCACACCCCTCCTGACCCTGTGAACAGTGCTGCTCAGAGCGCACCCCTCCTGACCCCATGAACAGTGCTGTTCAGAGCACACCCCCTCCTAACACCGTGACAGTGCTGTTCAGAACATACCCCTATCCCGACACTGAACAGTGCTGTTCAGAACACACCCCGTCCTGACCCCGTGAACAGTGCTGTTCAGAGCACACCCTTCCTGACCCCGTGAACAGTGCTGTTCAGAGCACACCCTTCCTGACCCCGTGAACAGTGCTGCTCAAAGCACACCCCTCCTGACCCTGTGAACAGTGCTGTTCAGAGCACACCCTTCCTGACCCTGTGAACAGTGCTGTTTGGAGCACACAGCGCTCCCAAGGCTGTGAACAGTGCTGTTCAGAGCATACCCCCTCCCAACACCGTGAACAGTGCTGTTCAGAGCACACACCCCTCCCAAAACCGTGAATGGTGCTACACCTACCTTCTGGGCCTTGACGGCAGCCTTTCTTGAGTAGAACATCTTCCACGGAGTTTTCAAACACTAAGTAGACATTCTGCAGCAAGCCCTGTGGAAACATGAAGAACAGCGTGGGATGCAAAGCTAACGGACACTGGTAGCTCCAGGGCAGGGTCCTTCCACAGAATGTTTTCTCCTCTGTACAAATACTTAGAAAGTTAGAAATCAGCCTATCACCAGCTTCCCTTTTATCGCTACCTTAGAAACTGGATTATAGAGATGAGACCAAAGTGGAAGTGGCATGTGAAGTTTGCTAACTAGGAAGTCAGGTGTGCAGGTGGGGCACAGGAGGCCGAGGGGCTGTGGACTCCATCTGCTGAGCATGCTCACACTGACACACTGGGGTCCCTCCAAGGCCTCACGTGTGCTGGTGTGTAGCAGAGGGACCTTATGTAGACTCTGGGTCTGCAAGGCAGCCCTCCATACCTTAGAGACGTGGCTCCTGCAGTGGGGGAGGCCAGCCACATGGCCACGGAGGGCCCTCCACGGTGCCCCATCACCCAGTAATGCAGCACGCAGCCTTCTGTGCAAGCAGCAGCTTGACATGCACGCATGTCTAGAGGAGATGCACACATTGCCTCCCACCTACACTGGCTCACACACATGACCAATTCTTCTAGTTAAACAGGACCGCAAGCCCGCTGTGCATTCAGCTCACTTAAACTGCACAATGCAGCGCACTGTCCTTTCTCCCCTAGTGACGGAAGATGGGCTGGGAGATGGATGTGCCACTGCTCAGTACTTGACGGAGGGTCAGACGCTAACTGGGCAGCTTGCAAGAGCCCCACAGTGAGAACCCAGTCTGGTCTCCACTGAGTGTCTGACTTTCCCAGCATCCAGGGGAAGGAACCCAAGGGAGCCTCCAGAACCAGGTCCTCCGCACAGACACCTCAAATGCTCATGGCTTTGTGTACCCCTGCTCCAGACTTCCTAGCAGGGCAGATACATAGCTATTCTCCCACAAATCCACAGAAAGACAGTTTCTAACTAGCCCGCTTTTCAATCCATCGCCAAAGCAAAGACTGGAGAATGGCTTCAGCCCTAACAGAATCATTCCAGGATTGTCAGGGCATGTGCGGCGGGGTCAGGCCCCTGGATTCTGACCAGCCCTCAGTCCCATCACTCACTGACCTTGTACTGGCAAGGAACCCGTGACTGCTGCCCTGCTCTGCCCAGGTTAGGGTGTGCCAGCTGTGTGTGTGCGCGTGCGTGCATGTGTGTGGAGGGTTGATGGCATGTGGGGAAGGTCTGTGCTCTGCGTGCAGGGTGCAAGGTTGTGTGTGAGTGTCCATGAATGCACATGACTCTAGCACACATCTGTCTGACTGCTGATGGGTGGTACTCGTGCATAGGTGGCCCAGTATGTCTGCATGCTGCTTACATGTGCAAGTGTGTGTGGTGCATGTGTACACCAGTGTACAAGCATGCATGTGTACTCATATAGAGTGTTGTACAAGTGTGTGCTTATGTGAGATGCATATATACTTCTGTTCATGGTAGTGTTTGTATATGTGCATGCAGGTAAATGCAAAATGTGTGTGCACAATGGTGCAAGCATGTGTGCAAGTGTGGTATCCAGTGTGTATGCCTGTGTGTGGTGCGTTTGTAAGTACATGTGTGAGTGTGAGCAGAAGGGACCCTTGTGCACGCAGGTATGTGTTGTGTGCTGCTCCAGCCCATTAGCTGACACAGCTTCGTCAACGGCTGCATACACACCCTGAAGTGGCTCTCTCGGGAGGCTCCTCTGGCCACGTACATCCTGCTCCTGTCCACAGTCAGCTGCTCATAAAAGGGCTCGTCCAGGGTGAAGCTGTCGATGAGGTCACAGCCCACATACAAGCTGTAGGTCTCCCCGGCCACCTGCACAGTGACATTCTTCCACTGGGAGTCGGCCAGGCCCACGTCCTCCAGCGAGACCATGTGCCGCGCGCCCTCCACCCAGTAGGCAAGGTCCAGGGTGTCTCTCGGGCCGTTGGAGATGATCTCGAACTGCCTCTGGGAGGCACCAGGGCCCTCCAGAGCCAGCAGCGTTCCCTGGGACTTCCGGTCCTGCTTCAGCTGGGCCGTGAGGAAGAAACCATCCTTCTGCCGCATGACCTTGATAATCCTGCCAAGGTCGTCTGAGTTCACCGGGGGGATGTAGTCAAAGCGGACAAAGCGGTAAGCCGGGACGCCGGGGTCAGGCCCTCGGAACTGCTTGGCTCCAATGGTCTTCCGGTTTATGTTGCTGAGGCTGAAGAGGTCGAAGGTAGTATCTGCATGCTGGTCACCGGCTGCCGAAGGGAAGCGCAGAGCCGAGTCACCCACAGCAGGGGCTGGGCTGGCCGGGCTCCTCGGACAAGCCACAGGCGAGAGCCAGGCAGCCCGCGTGGGCACCAGGCACGTGTCACGCTTCCCCTCGATCACAGACACCGAGCCTGCCGCAGCCCATCTCCCATCCAGGGCTTTGCGGAAGCCTGCGCCACGTGATCGTGAGGCTCACGTCCTGATCCCAGAGGCTGAGTTACTGTCCCTTACCCAGACACACTGGCCAGCCCATCCTCCCACCGGCCCACCTGCTGCTGCAGGCCAGCGAGCCCAGCTCAGGGCAGCGTCCTCCTCCCAGCACGTGACCGCTGGAGCCGTGCCAGGAAGAAGGGGGTCTTGAACCTCTCTGGGGATGGGCTTCTGATTGCACTAAGTGACATGGCTGCTTCTTGTGGGACATTCTGCCTTACGCAAAGGATACTGTCGCACCCTTTTTTTTTTTTTTTAATAAAAATGTGATCTCCAAACTCGACTGCTCTGTGTGGTTAAAACTCTCAGACAATGGGCTCTTGTGTCCACAAGTGAATGGTTTAAGTCACCATATAACAGCTCAAAGGAAGGCATCGGCTCTCACCAGTATTGTAACAATTTAAATAATCCAAAAGAAAAATCCATAAAGATGAAAACATCATAATACACAGTTGATGACAAAACTGTGAACTCTACAATCTTAATAGACATATTGACAGTAGTATACATAATTCAAATAATTTAACCCTTTGTCTACTGCTACAAAAAGTGTCCGTCTCAGTTTTGCAACTTTCTCAAAGGATAGTCATGAATTTATTTACAACACTGTTCCTGCCAATAGTCACAGTGAAGCCGAAATCTGAGAAAAAATTGCTCTGCTAACATTAGGGCTTATCTGTGATGGGAAATCACAGAGTCCTTAAGATTATGTTGGAGAAAATAAATGTCTGGGAAAGTATTTACTAGAAACATTTTAGCAGGAAGGAAGTGGGGAGAAACAAAGATACAAAACAAAACCTTCACAGTTTTGAAGCGCTGCTTGTAGATGAAGGCTGTCCGGTGCGGAGGGAAAGCCTGGGTTCCGGGGGATTTGGTATGAAACCTGGCCTTTCCTAACAGAACTCCTTTCCTAGCAGCTGGTGTCTGGCCTGCAGCTAAGCCCTGTCCACGGCAGAGCCCACGCTGTCCACACTCACCCAGAGCCCATGGCCACGCCCACAAGGCCAGCAGGACCAGCCTCCAGAGCATCCTGCCGCCTGCTGCAACTCCTAGGAGAAAAACCAGCCCTCATTAGTGAAGTGCACAGCTGCAGCTCTGGCCGTGGGGTAGGCTGCTCGCCCACGTGATCTCTCCAAAGCACTGTGTGTGGAAAAACCAAAAGCAAACATCCTTGTGTGAAGTTGAAGCTCTGCTTTGCTGTTAGGATCTCACAGCTGCTAGCACTGCATGCATTGGCGTTCCCCATACTCCTGCAGTGGGAGCCTCAGAACAACCCGCCAAGAACGTGCCCACAGAGGAGAGGGCAGCTGCTGGCCGGCCCTCATTAATCCAGTTACAAGATGTAGCCAGGGCTTAGCTCCAGAAGCTTGCATTCAGAAAAACCTCAGCCTGGTGAAAATAATCTGTGAAGGCATCTGGCCAATGTCCAAGGGAAAATAAACAGTTATGCATAATTTAATTAAATAGAATCAGGATCAACTGCATTTCAAAGTTGGAAAGAGACTTGGTGTATCACTCTTAGGAGAAACAGAAGATTTCACTTAGCAACGATTCTTACCCTACTTTCTATTTTCCTGCAGGCCTGTTTTTCCATTCTCTGAGATTCTAAATTGGCATGGCTTACCAGACACTGGACCAGAAGTCAGGAGACCTGGAGCGCAGCCTGGCTCCACTGTTAACTGTCTCAACTCCTCTTCCTGGTGAGGAGGGGCAGGGCTGCGGTGGTGTCCTGGGTCCCTCACACCCCAATGGGTGCGAAACCTAACGCTCTGATCACAACCCCTCCCCTGTTTAGACCACCATGCTGATTGAATTCTCATTGTTAAGGAAACCCAAGAATCTGCCTCTCTAGAAAGACTTGGCAAGGTAAAAAGGCCACCTCCCAGGTTCAAGGGCGGCCCATGGAGGGCAATGCTCGGTGGGCTCACAGGTCTCCTCCGGAGGCCAGCGGCCACGTGGGGCTTCCACGGTGGCTTTGCCGCAGGATGCCTGGTTTTCGGCTGTCACGTGGCAGGTGGAAGGACTGTAGCTCTGAGCTACAGCCTGGCGTGATTGGGCTCCAGCTTTGCTACCCAGATGGCTTCTTTATGCTCTCTGGCTCCGTTTCCTCATCCCTCCATGGAAAACAGCTCTCTGTAGCATGTGCTGGCTGGGTTGTTATGGAGTTACAGTAAGCAGATTAAATGGCCCTCAAGCACTTTTTAGCAAGCTGGATCCTGAGCTGTTCCTGGCTGAAGTCTGGGGCCCCTGGTGGTTTCTGCTCACGGTGACAGCGCAGAACTCCCCGAGCCCTGCCACGTACCCAGAACAGCACCTGTGCACAGAGAGCGTTCCTGGGGCTGGTGTTCCCGGGCAATCGTGGTGTGGAGACTTCCTAACCATTCCTGCCGCCTGGCCCCTCTCACACCACAGCTCTCGCACAGGTGAACAGCCGCACCAGCACCGGCTGACATGCTGAGCTCTGGGCAAAATCCGTCCCAAACAGAGCGTCACAAGCACCAGCGGTACCAACCCCACCTCACCTCGGGGGCTAGTCACAACACACAGGAGCACACGGGAGGGACTGCGTCCCGGTGTGAAAGCCGACAATGCAACCGCATCACAGTTCCACAAACTCGCTCCCACCCCTTCCGCATAGTCACGCTAGATGTTAGATTTTTTTTCCAACTCCTTCTTGAAGCAGACTGCAATTGAACTTCATGAAGGTTCTATGAATTCTTCTAAAATGAATATCAAATTGAAAAGTGACTGCAGTGCGTCCATCAGGCCCCTGTGACCAGCACGGCTCCCAGGACCAGTGCCACCGCCTCCCCCGCCTCCCACGGACCTGTCCTCCAGCTGCCCGAAAAGCTGCCGGCTCATTGCATACACACCCTTTCCCCAGACTCAGAACGGCGGTGCGATGCTCTCCACAGACTACCTGTGGCAGCAAGGCCTGCGCAGCCGTTGGTGAGATGAGAGTTAGACTCTATAATGACTTCATATTCACGCTTCTGGAAACTGTTGGCAATGCCTTTCTTGTGGCTCCTCTCCAGTAACAAAGTCCCCGGTGTGGAAACTTACTCCGGATCTGAATCCGAAGCTCCGCGTGGCCCAGGCAGCACACAGAGGAAAGCAGCAGGACCTGGGCAGGGGCCAGAGCCGACGGGGTCCAGCCGGACCCTGCAAGCCAGACCTCAAAGTCAGGCCTCCAGTCAGTTCACCACACAATGCACTTGAGGGGCAGGATGGGAAGGGGTATGCCCACCACTGCAACTCAGGAGCCTGTCTTGCATATGTTTCTGCTCTCCTACTGGACATCAAGAGCCTTTTCTGAAAGCTACAGCCCAAGGAAATAACTAAGTGAATAAATGGTGCACAGTACCTGGTACGCCGGGAGGCCGGCGATGGCTGCTTTTGGTGATCAGGTCCAGAGAGGACAAGGATGAGGTGCTGGAGGAGACAGGGTCCTGGGTGGAGGCTGCTGACCGCTGGACACTCTCCCTGCCTCCAGGCGGCAGCCTTTATATGCTCCTCTCCCAGAGTGGCCCTGCCAATCACACACACGAGGAAGCACGTTTAATTCATTCCTTCGAAGGAATGACCTAATTCCTCTTTCCCATCCCACCATTTGCTCTGAGTACCTGCATCTGAGTCCAAGTCCAGCCCCTTCCCTCATGCTGGGTGCCGCCCCCTCTCCGCGTCTACCCTGGGCTTGCCAGACAGGGTCAGGGAGGAGCCAGACAGAGGGGAAAAGCAGGGACTCACTTTTCCTGTCTTCTCTCAGGAAAGAAAATGCTATAAATAAAACCAGCAATATTGGCTGGAACTCCCTATTTTGCTTAAGAGAAAAGTATGCAAGTTCTATGCTTTAAATATGTTTCAAATTATCCAATGTGATACTGGCCTTTCTGAATCAAGTAAGCAGTCATCAGTAACACAAAAGAAGTCAGCGGGTGCAAATGCTTGCACTCAGCCTTGGTGAAGTTCCCACATGTAAGAATTAATGTTGTCATGCATGAAATCTTTAGTGTAAAAGAGTCCACAAACCACTCTAGGCAAGGGGCACAGCAGAGGCATGGCTGTGGGGTAGGATTTGTTTTCAATTAAACACGGTTTGTGTATTACTGCACAATGTCCTCCTGCAGATGCACAGTGTCCTCCTGCAGATGCACAGTGTCCTCCTGCAGATGCACAGTGTCTCCTGCAGATGCAGTGTCCTCCTGCAGATGCGCAGTGTCCTCCTGCAGATGTGCAGTGTCCTCCTGCAGATGCGCAGTGTCCTGCAGACGCGCAGTGTCCTCCTGCAGATGCGCAGTGTCCTCCTGCAGATGCGCAGTGTCCTCCTGCAGATGTGCAGTGTCCTCCTGCAGATATGCAGTGTCCTGCAGATGTGCAGTGTCCTCCTGCAGATGCGCAGTGTCCTGCAGATGCACAGTATCCTACAGAAGCGCAATGTCCTCTTGCAGATGCGCAGTGTCCTCCTGCAGATGCGCAGTGTCCCCTGCAGATGCGCAGTGTCCTCCTGCAGATGCGCATTTTCCCTGCAGATGCGCAGTGTCCTCCTGCAGATGCGCAGTGTCCCCCTGCAGATGTGCAGTATCCTGCAGATGCAGCACCCCCTGAAGATGTGCAGTGTCCTGCAGATGCATAGTGTCCCCTGCAGATGCACAGTGTCCTGCAGATACGCTGCATCCTCCTGCAGATGTGCAGTGTCCTCCTGCAGATGTGCAGTGTCCTCCTGCAGATGCGCAGTGTCCCCTGCAGATGCGCAGTGTCCCCTGCAGATGCGCAGTGTCCTCCTGCAGATGAGCAGTGTCCTCCTGCAGATGCACAGTGTCCTCCTGCAGATGAGCAGTGTCCCCTGCAGATGCGCAGTGTCCCCTGCAGATGTGCACTGTCTTCCTGCAGATGTGCAGTGTCCTTTTGCAGATGTGCACTGTCTTCCTGCAGATGTACAATGTCCTCCTGCAGATGCACAGTGTCCTCCTGCAGATGCGCAGTGTCCTGCAGATGCACAGTATCCTGCAGATGCGCAATGTCCTCCTGCAGATGCGCAGTGTCCTCCTGCAGATGCGCAGTGTCCCCTGCAGATGCGCAGTGTCCTCCTGCAGATGCGCATTTTCCCTGCAGATGCGCAGCATCCTCCTGCAGATGCGCAGTGGCCCCTGCAGATGTGCAGCGTCCTCCTGCAGATGCACAGTGTTCCCCTGCAGATGTGCAGTGTTCCCCTGCAGATGTGCAGTGTCCTTCTGCAGATGTGCAGTGTCCTCCTGCAGATGCGCAGTGTCCTCCTGCAGATGCAGTGTCCTCCTCCTGCAGATGCAGTGTCCCCCTGCAGATGTGCAGTATCCTGCAGATGCGCAGTGTCCTGCAGATGCACAGTGTCCCCCTGCAGATGTGCAGTGTCCTGCAGATGCAGCACCCCCTGAAGATGTGCAGTGTCCTACAGATGCGCAGCGTCCCCTGCAGATGTGTACTACTCAATCAGACTCACTTCACAGTGGCTGGAAGGGACTGGAGGAAAAGTCATGAGGCTCAGCTACAAAGGAGGATTGCAGATGGAATGGGTAGGGATGAGAGTATGAGAGGAGAGGCGGTAGCCGACATCTCCTTTCCAACTCAACCTACCCAGGCCAGAGTGGGCAGACTATGGACATTGGAGGAGAAGAGTCATCACCTAGGGTGAGCAATGTACAGAGGGAGGGAGATCACACAGGGTGGACAGAGGAGAGAGGATGTGGCTGGGTAGGTGGGTGACACAGAAGAAACATCCAGCCTGGACATCAGAGGTGTCCACAAACACATTCTCCAAGAGTAGTAGGTTCTGGGCCAAAATAAGATGTCCTGGGCCAGGGGATAGATGCTATGGTGCTGAGCCTCCAGCGTGCGGTATTTGCTCTTTTCACACTCTCTGCAGTGCTGTGATAATAGCAGAGCCCACACTGGGAGTCGCGGTCTCTGTCAGCAGACAACTGCATGGCAGAAACCTGGGTGGCAATGTAAGAGGAACCCGCGGACCGTCCCTCAGCCAGGCTGCACAGTTCTGT